TAAGCTTCATCCATTAGGTACCCAGATATTTCCCAGCTTGCACATCAGCCTGCTTACCTGAGTTTATGGGTACTTTGCATGGCCGACATTTATGCTGGCTGAGCCAGCAGACCTCATGTTTGCTCCCTTCACCCATGAATGTGATGGAAAAACATAGTCATTTTGCTCCTTGTTATTGTACCAAAAGAAAAACTAAATGCTTGGTTTGCATTGCTGGGAATAAGCCGGACTTGTTTCCAGTGGGTGTTGGACTTCACCAGGACTTGTCACAGTTTCTATTCTAATTTTAATGGACAGAATCTTCAGGTGGAAACAACAGGTGCCGGAAGGCTTTCACCTTGGTGGCTTCTGCTTTTTGTAAACAGTGTGGTTCTTTTGGCTTCATCAAGTGGTTGCCTCCAGCTCACATTGAAGCAGTTTGCAGCCCAGTGTTAATTGGAAGAAATGAGAAATGAGAATTAACACTTAACACAAGTCTGAGGCCATGGTTCTCAGTCAGAAAAGGATAGAATACCCACTCCAGGTCAGGGACAAGCTGGGTCATTCACTGACTCAGAGTAGAACCACTAAGGGGCTTGTTTGGGCATCTGATTATAGTGTCTCCTGGGTGTTCCAGGCATGTCCTGGAAGAAGGGCATGTCCTGGAAGAAGGGCATGTCCTGGAAGAAGGGCATGTCCTGGAAGAAGGATATGTCCTGGAAGAAGGGCATGTCCTGGAAGAACGACATGTCCTTTGAGAGGTTATATGTCTTGACTGTCATAGGAACACTTCAAGGAAGTGGCTGAGGAGAGGGAGATCTTAGTTTCTTTGTTGGCTGGATAAGTGGTAGCAAATGGATCGATGGATGAATGGTTAGAAAATAGTTGGTTAGAAAATACCTGTATGAGAGCATTAACGTATAGTTTACTATCCTAACGTGATCCCTGATTTAATCCCCCATGCACACCTTGCCTCATGTGACCTCAATAGCTCACGTATGATGTGAAAAAATTACCATATAATTTTTTAACACAGAAGTTTTCTTTTATTTACAAATATGTGTGTACTATGAAGAGAAAGTCAAAAAAGCTACATAATTTCCAGACCAATGGTCTATTTTCAGGCCAGAGGTTTGAACTGAATAATACTATACTATTTAGTTGTTTGTTAGTGAGTATATTTAAGAATATCTTTTCTTTTTTAGGTCATGGCAGCAGAAATGTCATGTCTGACAGGTGTTGATGAAGATGACAAAGATGCAGATCCTGAGATCAATGCCCTCACACTCCTACAGGAACCAGTGAGAATGGCGCAAGAATCCGCTGCTTGCACTGATTCCTTTGGCAAGCCTTCCCCAAAACAAAACAATGTCCTTGATGTTCTGTCAAATGAAGATATGTTGTCTCCGGTTGGCTTGGGAAATGGACCTTCTTCCCATCAGGCTACACAGGCCCATGAACTCAATAGCATTTCCTCTGAAAAAGAGGAGGAAAAGAGTATCACGCCTCTAAAAACTGTACATGAAATCGACACTGCAGGAATTTGGGGATTTGATGAGTCACCTGAGAACTCATTGGATAATTTTAGTAGCACCAGTGACTTAAATTGGGACCCACACAAAGAGTTTATGCAGTTTCTTTGGGAAAACCATAGTGATTCCCCTGGTGAGGAGACTAAAGAGGAAGTCTCTCCTGCTAATAGCCAAAGGAGAAGGAAACGGAAAATGGACATGGTTGTGATGGTAGATCCTTCAGAAGACCTTTACCCTGAATTGAGTCCCAAGTCATCTGAGGAACTGTCTGAGGCTGAAGGCCAAGAAGATTCCATTCCTGTCAGAAAAGTCAGAAAGTCAAGGAAATTCTCTAAGTCACAGTCATCACCAACAGGAAAAGTTTCAAAGTATCCAAATGGAACAGTAAAGGCCATCAAGGAAATTCTTTACAATGGACCTTCAAGGAATTCACATGAGAACAACATGAAACACGGACTTTCTCCATTGAAGGGAAGACTCACAATAAATTCTCATTCAGAGGGGAAGCCGTCCTGTTACCCATGCTCAAAATGTAAACTCATATTCAAGAAAGAACATCATTTGCATCGTCATATGAAGTCTCATGTTGAACCTCCCAATATTTCACCAAAGCCCTTCATATGCCGAGAGTGTGGCCAGTCTTTCAGACAAAGTGGTTTGCTTATTGACCACATGTCCATCCATAAGGACAAGAGAACAAGACTTACTGAAGAGATCAAAGGTGTGAATGATCGGAAAAAAGATGATAAAAACGCTAAGTTTTTCTGCCCTCAGTGTCCATTTGGAACAAATTGCCCTAACACATTTGTTCAACATGCAAAGACACATGAGAAGGACAAGAGAAAGTTTAGATGTGACAAATGTAGCTTCAGGACTCTTAGTGAAAATGACCTTAGGAGACATGACATTATGCAGCACACTGTTATTACGGTTAGAAAGCAAGTGCAGGAAGATGATCATGGAATCTTCTCGTGTGATATTTGTTCTTATAGAGCTTTTAGCAAAAATATTTTTAAGAATCACCTTCTCAGACGCCATCAACAAAGTTTTGAAGAATATGAAGCCGCACAGCATAGAGAGAAAAACGCACAACTAGGTAAGGAGCAGCAAGTGCCTACTTGTAAAACTCCTGTCGAAGATGCAGAGTTTACATCTAAAATCTCTATCAAAAATCAGATTGCCTCTAAAAGAGCTTGTTCACCTAATGGGTCCAGTGACATTTCAGACTTATTCAGAAATAGCAAGCTTAAGAGAGGCCCCAGGTCTCAAGTAACAGAGTCAAAACTGGACAAATCTATTAATGTTCTCCTGTCTCGACAAAGACATGGAAAAAAGAGTTTAGAGCAGAAGAAGGAACGCAATAATTGTAGTAAACCTGTTCAGGACAGTGACAAAGATGGTTGTGATGAGTTGTTTGAAACATTGACAGTCAAGGATGAAGAATCAACTTTATCCCCAAATGGCTCCAGTGTGACTATAGATCCCTCGACAGTCAAAAAGACACCATCTAAAAGAAAGATGTCCACCCCATATCGCAACACCTCCGACCAAGACTCATGCTTTATCTTACCAAAACCTTTGCCAAGTCCGAAAAAAGTAAATCCTGAAGAAGTGGCCAACTATGATGAAAGGGATATTTTCCAGTTTAAAGATACAGATGCAAACAGTAACCTTTCTGACAATGGCATCAAAAAAGAAAAACAAAACATCATTTACACATATAGCAGAAGAATGTCTATGAGGGGTGCCCTTCAAGCATCTAAAAGGCTTTTTGAGAAGATAAAGACTGAAGAGCAAGAACAGAATGACCCTGAAATCAAAGAAGAATGCATAGAAACAGAAGTGTTTCAAGAAACCTTTGAAGCCCACCAAATACCATTGGGAGAATCCTTCGGAGATGATTTGTCAGAGTTGGAATCGGACCGCAAGAACTGTCCTTATTGTCCTGCAGTATTTGAGTCAGGTGTTGGATTGTCAAATCACGTCCGAGGGCATCTTCATAGGGTAGGGCTCAGCTACAATGCGCGCCATGTTGTGCCTCCTGAGCAGGTGGCTTGTCAAGACAGGAGGCCGCGAATTCGACGGAAGATGTCAGCATTACGCCGATTGAAAAAAGGTACTCGAGTGCTTATTGCATGTTCTTCTTTAAAAGAAAAACTCTTGTGCATTACAGCTTTCCTTATTACTACTGTTAAAATGTGTTCTTGCCGAGTTGTAACAGATACTGCAGGAGATCTCAAAATGTGGTTCCAAAAACTAAACCAT